GGCTCCTCGCGGAGGCCAAGGCCGCGCACGCGGCGGCGCTCGAGGAGCAGATGCGCATGGTCGCCAGCCTCACGTCGAAGCACGAGGACGCGGCCGCGTCCCACGCCGCGGCGCTCGACGAGTTGCGAGATCGCCACGCCGCGGAGCTCGACGCGACGCGCGGCGGCACCGACGAGGCCGTCGCTTTGGCGCGAAGCGAGGTCGGCCGCCTCGAGGGGCTCTTGGAGGAGACGCGGTCGGCGCACGCCGCGGCGCTCGACGAGAAGGACGCGCACCTGCAGGAGACCGTGGGTAAGATGAAGAGCGCCGTCGCCGAGAAGCTCGGCAGCCTGACGTCGGAGCACGAGGAAGCGCTGAGCGCCGCGCAGTCCGAGTCAGCGGCGGCGCTCGAGGCCGCGGCGGAGTCCCACGCGTCGGCGCTCGACGAGCTGCGAGATCGACACGCGGCGGAGCTCGAGGTGACGCGCGGCGGCACCGACGAGGCCGTGACGGCGGCGCGCGCCGAGGTCGGCCGCCTCGAGGGGCTTTTGGAGGAGGCGCGATCGGCGCACGCCGCGGCGCTCGACGAGAAGGACGCGCACCTGCAGGAGACCGTGGCGAAGATGAAGAGCGCCATCGCCGAGAAGGTCGGCAGCCTGACGTCGGAGCACGAGGAAGCGCTGAGCGCGGCGCGATCGGAATCCGCGTCGGCGCTCGAGACCGCGGCTTCGTCCCACGCGTCCGCACTCGAATCGCACGCGTCGGCGCTCGAGGACCTCAAGTCCCGCCACGCCGCGGAGCTCGAGGCCACGCGCGCCGGCACCGACGAGGCCGTGACGGCGGCGCGCGCCGAGGTCGGCCGCCTCGAGGGGCTCTTGGAGGAGACGCGGTCGGCGCACGCCGCGGCGCTCGACGAGAAGGACGCGCACCTGCGGGAAACCGTGGGTAAGATGAAGAGCGCCGTCGCCGAGAAGCTCGGCAGCCTGACGTCGGAGCACGAGGAAGCGCTGAGCGCCGCGCGATCGGAATCCGCGGCGGCGCTCGAGGCCGCGGCGGCGTCCCACGCGTCGGCGCTCGACGAGCTGCGAGGTCGACACGCCGCGGAGCTCGACGCGACGCGCGGCGGCACCGACGAGGCCGTGACGGCGGCGCGCGCCGAGGTCGGCCGCCTCGAGGGGCTCTTGGAGGAGGCGCGGTCGGCGCACGCCGCGGCGCTCGACGAGAAGGACGCGCACCTGCGGGAAACCGTGGGTAAGATGAAGAGCGCCGTCGCCGAGAAGGTCGGCAGCCTCGCGGCGCAACACGAGGAAGCGCTGAGCGCGGCGCGATCGGAATCCGCGGCGGCGCTCGAGACTGCGGCTTCGTCCCACGCGTCCGCGCTCGAGGATCTGGAATCCCGCCACGCCGCGGAGCTCGGCGCCGCGCGCGGCGGCACGGACGAGGCCGTGACGACGGCGCGCGCCGAGGTCGGCCGCCTCGAGGGCGCCCTGGAGGAGGCGACGTCGGCGCACGCGGCGGCCCTCGAGGAGAAGGACCGCCACTTCCAGGAGACCGTGGGTAAGATGAAGAGCGCCGTCGCCGACAAGGTCCGCGCGCTCGCCGCCGCGCGCGACGGCGCCGTCGACGCCGCGCGGTCGCGGCGCGCGAGGCCGAGGTCCGGGCCGAGCTCGCGACGCCCCGCGACGACGGCGCGCTCGAGGCGCTGGAGCGGACGCTCAACGCCGCGCACAAGAAGAAGCAGAGCGCGCTGCACGCCGAGTTCAGCCGCGAGCTCTCCGCGACGCAACAGAAGCTCGCGGAGGCCACCGCGGCGCTCGCGGACACCGAGGCCGGCGCGGCGCCGGCGCCGCGCGGCGCGCTGGAGATCCTCCAGCGGGACCTCGACGCGACGCGCGCGGAGTGCGACGGCCTCCGCGCGGCGGTCGACGCGGCCGGCGCCGCGGACGCGGACGGCGGCGCCGCGCTCCGCGCCGCGCGCGACGAGGCCGCGGCGGCCAAGGCGCGCTGCAAGGCCGTCGAGGAGGCCGCGGCGACGCTGCGGACGGGCGCGGACCTCGTGCGGCGCAAGTTCGAGGCGCTCGAGAAGGAGATCGGCGACGCGCGGACCGCGAACGCGGCGCTCCGCGAGCGGCTCGACGGCGGCGCGGCGCCGCCGCCCATGGAGACGGAGGACCGCTTCGCCTACCTGCGGAACCTCATGATGGAGTTCCTCGCGGACCCGGAGCCCGACGCGCGCGCGCACATGGAGCGCGCGATCCTCGTCGTCCTCGGCTTCGACGCGGACGACGAGGCGCGCCTCGCGGCGAAGCGGGGCGAGGCCGCGGCGAAAAAGGGCGGCGGGCTCCTCGGGTTCTTCGGCTAATCCCTAGGGAACGTCGACGCCCGCGGGGGCGAGGAGCAGGCCCGCGCGCGTGCCGTTGACGCGCGCGTGGAGGCGCGCGTCCCCCGCGTAGCGCCGCGCGACGACGGCGTCGATCCGCGCGCGCTCCGCCGGCGTGTAGACGTGGCAGGGCCGGCGGTCGCGCCGGTCCGCGCAGCGGTTCGCGACGGGGAGCGGCGCGGGCGGCGCGCCGAGGGGCAGCGCGGACAGCAGCGCGTCGACGGCGCCGGGCCGCTCGAGCGCCGCGAGGACGAGCGCGCGCACGGGCGCGCCCGTCACCATGGTCCGCTGGACGTCGTCGACGTCGAAGAAGAGGCGCCGCGCCTCCACGGCGTCGAAGCCCACGCGGAGGTGGAGCATGGCCGACCCGAGCCACGCGGCCGGCGCCCGGAGCACCGCGACGGCGCAGGTCTCGCCGAAGAACGGGTAGTCTCGCGTCGCGAGGTCGCCGAGGCCGATCTCCTCCGCGACGACGACGCTGCCGTTGGTCGCGCTTCGCCGGTCGCGGATCTGCCGCCACTGGGCCTCGCCGAAGTCCTTGCCGTGGCCGACGTAGACGCCCGCGCGGCGGAGCTGGAGCCAGCGCGGCGACTGCTTGAGCACGGAGACGAGCGCCGTGCCGGCCGTCTTCGGGATGTGGATGACGTAGACGATGGGGCAGCCGCGCAGCGCCGCCGCGATCTGCGCCACGTCCTCGGACGCGGCGCTCGCCGCGACGGCGGCGCCGAGGCGCAGCAGCGACAGCAGCGCCAGGCGAGCGGCGCGCATCTCGCGCCGGAGCGGACTTAGCCCATCACGGCGGAGACTTGCAGCCCGGAGAGACGCGGCCCATGCTGCCCGAGGGGAGCAAGGTTGCACCCAATTTTTCCGTGGCTGCCGACGACTTGACGTCGGCGATCGCGCGATCACAGCGTCTCAGGTGATCGACTGCGCCGTCTCGATCACCGCAGTCTCAGTGATCGACTGCGCCATCTCGATGGTGCGCATAGCCAAGTACAAGCTCTACAGCGATCCCGGCGCGACCTACAGCGCCTGCGCCTTCTACGGCACGCCGAGCGGCTGCCGCCAGGGCGCGGCCTGCCGCTTCGCGCACGGCGAGAAGCGCGCCGCGCCGGCGCCGGCGGCCCGCGCGCCGCGCGCGCCGCTCGTCGCCGCCGCGACGTTGGCGTCGGACGACGACGACGACGACGACTCGTCGGACGAGTCGTCGGACGAGTCCTCCGACGAGTCGTCGGACGAGTCGTCGGACGACGAGGCGGCCGCGGCGGCGCCGCCGCCGCCGGCCGCGGCCGCGGCCGCGGAGTCCGAGTCCGAGTCCGAGTCCGACGCGTCCGAGTCCGAGTCCGACGGCGCCGCCGCCGGAGCGGCCGGCGGCTCGGAGCTCGACCGGCTCCGCGCGGAGCTCGCCGCGGCGAAGGAGCGAAACGCGTTCGTCAAGTCGCGCGCCGCGGACGACGAGGCGGCGAAGCGGCGCGCGGCCGAGGCCGCGGAGCGGGAGCGCGAGGCGCGCGAGGTCGCGGCCCTCAAGGCCCAGCTCGAGGAGCTCCGCGCGGCGAACGCGAAGAAGCGCGCGCTCGTCGACGGCGGCGACGGCGGCGGCCGCAAGAAGCGGTAGGCGGCGCGCGCTTAATTAACCTCGGCGATCTCCGCTTCCGCGGGACCCTGGGCGCGACCCGCGCCCTCGTGCGCATGCGTGTCACCGGCGGTTGTCGATCCACCGGGCGACGCGGTCGCTGGGGCCGCCGTCGCGGTCCCAGCTCCGTGAGGACGCCGGCGCCCGCGGCGGCGCAGGCGCACCAGCCGCCCGCGGCGTCCAGGTCGCCGTCGCCCTGCGCGACACTACGTGGAGGCAGCACCATCTCGCATCAAACGACGGCAAGACAGCTTCATAATCAGACGGTGCCGTCGAGCTCGAGCTCTCCGATGAAGCTCGTCCTCGCGCCGCTCTTGGCGGCCTCGGCGTGCGCGTTCTCCGTCCCGCGCAATGCGCGGCCGCGCGCGGCGCCCGCCGTGCCGCGACGATTTGTCGCGCTGCGCGCCGAGCCGGACGCGCCGTCGGAGAAGCCGTGGACGGAGAAGTTTGGTTACTTTCAGTTAG